AGAGAGAGAGAGAGAGAAAATCCCAAGCAGGCTCTACACCAGCAGTGCTGAGCCCACCGTGGGGCTTGAAGTCACCGACCATGAGATCATGATCTCAGCCAAAACCAAGAGTTGGATGCCTAGCCAACTGAGCCTCCCAGGTGCCCCTATTTCCATCAGCTTCTAACAGGCTCACAAGATGTGTTGACATCTTGTGTGTGTGTATACATACACATATATACAAAACCTTGTCGTTTTTATAATAATTTTAAATGATGTATAGATCTAGATGGCATTATAATTTGAACCTAGAAAAGCAAAGAAATGGCTGATTAAGGCTGTTAATTCATCACAAGCTTTATACTGTACTAATGGAGGGCATATAGACATGAGTATTCAATATGCCAACATTCTTTAATTCAGCTGAGGGAAGATAACAAGCCCCTGGATTCAAAAACTACAATGTCTAAATTCTGACGAAGAATCTGTTGAATCGTTCACTTAAGAATTTTGTCAGAGAAATCGGCACCCAGTCTGGTGGCCAGTGGTTTTTTTGTTTGTTTTTAAGTTTATTTATTCTGTGAGAGAGCACGAGCAGAGGAGGGGCGGAGAGAAAGAATCCCAAGCAGGCTCCACGCTGTCAGTGCAGAGCCTAACACAGGGCTCAAACCCACAATCCATGAGATCATGACCAGAGTCGAAGTCAAAAGAGTCGGACATGTAACTGACTAAGCCACCCAGGTGCCCCTTCTGCAGTTCACTTTTTCCATTCTTCAACCACAGGTATGACTGATCTTCCACTGTCCCCGCTCTGTCTGATTTCATTGCAGGTGGTCCTCGGTGGTCCCGCAAATGCACTTGTAAGCTAACAGGCAACCTGACTTAGCACACCTGCATGGTGGGCAAATCCCTTGGCTCCTGTGGGGGGGGGGGGGGGCTCGAAATGAGGGAATTGGGTTAGTCAGTGAAGGATATCCTTTCTAAACCTGAAATTCAGGGGCTCTACGTTTCTTTCCTCATTGGGCCTGACAAGAGAAAGCAAGAGCCTCATAGGGATGGAATACAATGGCTTTTTCTCTGTCATCTTTGGACATTACAACCTCCTGTGCAAAACCACAGACCTAAGTTCTTATAGATTTAGAACTAAGGGAAATTGAGAACTTCCCCCACTCTTTTGTTCCCTTCAGCATTTTCCCAAGCAGTGGTCTTCTGAGCCTCAGAGCTTCCTTGTCATGTTCATGATCCCTTCTACATGTCAGTATTTGTCACTGAGTTTGGGACTGTCTTTTCATACCCTTTGATGGAAAGTCTGAATTTCTTATGAGGTCCTTGTAGAGCTGCTCAGGTTTTCTGGTAGAACTTGTGTTTAGGTGTGTTTGTGATTGTCTAGTCAAAATGTTATTGCTGGGATCCCCACCCCCTGCCCCAAATCACCCCTCATGAGCTCCCCTCTGGGTTTTTCTGCTCTGGAGAAGATGTGCAGCTTTTTTCTTGGACTTTCTGAAGCGTGCTGTCTAGCAAGGCCTTTCTGCCACCACCTCTTCAGGTTTCTTCCCCTTCACCGAGCAACCCTTCCATTTTCTCCATTACAAAGTCCAGAAGAACCATTTACTTAGTGGTTACCTTTACTTGGCAAGAGATGAAATTGTCAGGAAAGGGAAGTCAAGTATTTTATCAACTATTCTGCTTTTAGCCATGATGAAAGGCCATCCTAATATGCAGCATCGCCTATATAAGGAATTGATGTGAAAAAGAGAAAGAAATACCATTGCACTCAGCCAGTATGGCAGATGCTTTGACAACTTTGAAACATATTCTTTAATGCCAAGAGCTAGCCAAATGGGGTCATGAGCCACAACTCAAACTATATTTCTGAAGGATTTTTCTGGCTTTTTCAGAAGTTGATTGTAAAATACAGCTGGGTTGGGGTGGGGAGTCTTCCCATAGTCCTCAGTGAATTCAAATAAGGGCCATATGTCTTGTTTCCAGCTTCAAATCTTTGAGAATTCTGCATATGTTGATGGCAGGCCAGACGTTCTCATCAAATTCTGAATTTGTTTATATGTGTGATCAAAAGAAAGATGGGAACTTTGTCAGTATCTAGAACCGATGGAACGATGATACTAGAATTAATCTCTAGGACCCATCATCCCTTTGCTCCATTCTTGTACCTGGCCCTGGCCCTGGCCCTGGCCCTGGCCCTGGCCCAGGCCCACGCACCCAGATGAATTAGGTGCCCAGCCCAGTGCTACCAGCCTGCAAGTCTTTTATAATCGGAGGTTTTTGCCATATATGAATATGCTTGTAGTTTTTCCAAATGAGGCCAGGAATCGATGCTAAAGGCTTATTTATGGAAAAGATTCAACTGGAAATACTTACCTAAACACATAAAAGAGGCATGAATATTGAGTAGCTTACCAGGAAATCAGGATAATAGGAGCAAACTATGCCAGACAGTATTTCTGAAGCCTTGGGAATAGATTTGATTATAGTGTGTGTTGTATTTACAGCAAATAACATTTTCTGCAATGCATAAAAGATTTTTAGCCACATAAATTTGATGCAAAAAGCATTGTCAGGCTGCTAGAAGTATACTCTTGAGGCACTGAGATTCCTCAGCCCTAGGACTTCCAAAATCAGTTTAAAGATCAAGTTACTAATGTAAACGTGAGGGGAAAAAAGTCCTTATTAATTCGTTGCTGCTGTTGTTGTTGTTTTTTTAACTATTAGAGCCCTAAGCAATGGTATTTCAATATCCTCAGATACGCTATTTACATATGTACACATGAACCCAGAGGGTTCCTACAATACCATTCATAGGTGTGTTTAAATTTTGCCTCAGACCACAAATTAGTAGCTAAACAGTTTTTAAAACTATGACATTTTCTGTTGGATACAGAGAACTCTTAAGACAACAAAAAGTGGCCCATCATCTCACTGCCCTGTTGAGGTTTTTTTTAATAAAAATAATGGGCACCTGTGATGAGAAATTGCAAAAACAGTACAGGGAGGTACAAAATGAAGAGCAAAAGGCTTCCACATGTACACTCCCCAAAGAACATGTACCTATTCCTAGACAAGATTTCCATGCATATATAAAACCCACTGGCTTTTATATAAGGATATTGTTGAATTTTTATTAAAATGAGTTTGTTTCTTAATGTGATTTATTTGCCTCGTGTTTAGAATATTGCATGGTAAAGTTTCTTTTGTGCATATTATACTTTTATTTTACTAATATATTAAAAGCCATATTTCAATGACCCCTGTACATTTTTCATGCTGTCTTACTCCCAATGGCCTCTGTGCATGTAAGTAACCTGTTGAGTGACTATGCCTCTTTGTTTTTGACGGTTTCCTTTCATTAAGTCCCTTTTTTTTTAATCTGCAAACAACATAAAACTTTTTAAAAGTTCAGTCTTTAACTGTTCTCCTTATATTCTTTGTATGTCTTATTTTTAAATATTCTCTTTTATTGTTTCTCAATCCTATGACCATGTGGTGATTTCATTTCGACCAGAGTAACTCACGTATGGTTAAGATATTGACGTGTAACATACCTGTTCATTTGTTTGTGCTGTCGATTGTTCATATCTAACTCATTCTTACGTGTTTCTTAAAAATCGACCAGTCTTAAGTGGGTAGGATTGCAGTTAGGGCTCTGTGGAAGGAAAGGGATGCGGATACCATTTAGAAAGCCTGTGCCATCATCATCTTGCCCTTTCATGAGATGCTTGATTATTTTTCGGTATTAAAATATATATCCGCTTGTTGATGTACCTCTTTCATAAGCATCCTTTTTCTTGATGGAAACATCACTCCGAGGGCAGTGGGTATAAAAAGCAATGCCGTAAGCACTCCTGCTTTTATTTTTGCAACTCTGACACTCCATCACCACTGAAGCATGACTAGCCAGCTCCAGCACGCACAGAACCTCGTGTTTGTTTTTATTTGGGGAGCCTGCCATTCTAGACACAGAAAGCACTTCTTGGTGTTTAGCTGAATTAAAGACTTTTGAGTCAACCTTTATGGAATCAAGCTATCAAAAGCAAACAAATGCACAGATACCCATTAACATGCACTAACCCTTATTTTAACACATTGTATTTCTTTTCTTTCTTTCTTTCTTTCTTTCTCTTTCTTTCTTTCTTTCTTTCTTTCTTTCTTTCTTTCTTTCTTTCT